ACAGTGTAAGAGAGTGGGAACCCATTTTGGTTTCTTCTACTAAATAACTACGACAACTGTTAGTCCACATGATGGTACGTGAATTCAGTGCGCCTCTTCGATTAAGAATGAAGATGCAGATGTGTTGTCACTCAGGACTACAATGGAATCAATGTCACCAGTGAAAACGTCTCCGGTTCTAGTTAACCTACGATAGAGAATTATTATGCTTCTAATTTAAGTATTTATTTTCTGTCTGTCTGTCTGTCTAAGTAATTATTCTGTAACAGTGTGGTCATTTCTCGGAGCTGTCTCGACCCATTCGTGCTGCAACCACAATATATCTGCCGCGTGGCTCTACCACGTAATGAAGTAAAAAATCAATAGTCAAGTCTACCGTAGTATATTATTACCTATTTAGGTCAGGTGTCCTATCGATAGATGGTTCGGAATTGTTCTGATATAGTTGCTTGGATAATCGGGTGGTCCTGTAAATCTTGAATAGTAATCTTAATAGAATCTTGAATAGAAATAGCCGCGCTACAGTTGTACTATGGCACGTGAATAGATCAGGTTGATTCAACCGGGGATGAACCGCGCTCTCACAGGATACTCTTGTAAAATAATAACTTAATGCTGCCATATTTCGTATAGTGTGTTTATAGAATCACGAACACTTTATACTGGTAATAAGGTCCTCAGAGATGCATCTTCATTTTGATTCTTAACCGGGGCTGGTGACACGCCAGGCGTGTCTTGAAATATTTGTCGAAAATTGGTGCCGCTACGAATCGGTTAATCTAGGATAGTTGGTGTCCAAGGCACAGTATCCACTTACCCTCAGGTGAACTGTGTGCTGGTGTGGTGTGTGTAACAACCCCCCCCCCCCCCCCCACACACACACACACACAACGGTAAGCGGCTTCTGTCGTCCATGGACACCTGCAGCCATCTTTAAACAATGAAGGCCTCACAGCCTGTAACTATACTGCCCCCCCTCCCCCTCAGCAACACAGCAGTGGAAACGTTGCTATTCGATTGTAGAAATAGGAAGAAAAGGTGGTGCCCACCCAGACGGACTCCTTAGAAATCCTATCACGTAGTAGCGTGCACGTGATGTGAAAAAGAACTAGCGTACAGTTTAACTTCAGGGTCACTAATCTCGAGACAACGCTAGCTAACATGTTAACAAGCGGATCTTTGACTGCTTCCTTCTACCACGGTGAAGGCTTGCTGGTACGTGTGTGGAGGGCCACGGCTATGTCACCCCATATCGCGCACCTTAACACAGACCCTGTGACCGGAAAAACACTTTGGTTTGTGATTTGTTTTGTTGTAGTTATAGGAATAGTAGGTAGATATTTTTATAGTAAATTGTACGACATTGTGGCACTTTCTGTGTCGTATTCACACGATTTTATAGCTTGATAGTTTTCGTATCATTAAATTTATAACCTGTCGGAAATATCTGCGAACCTCGCTGGAATGCGCTTCCCCTCGCGCTTCCCCGCACCTCCGCCCGTTATCGTCTATCCAGTACCGTTGCCATCTCTCCATATTGCATGACGTCATCAAGCCAGGTTCGCAGATATTTCCGCCCGTTATCGTCTATCCAGTACCGTTGCCATCTCTCCATATTGCATGACGTCATCAAGCCAGGTTCGCAGATATTTCCGACAGGTTATACATTATAATTTAAACCAATTTGTTTAAAACCCAAGGTAATTTATACGCGATAAAGTCTGTAAATTTAGTTTTATTTCAATGTATAATAAGTATTCGTGTAAATATAAGAAAGCATTAAATGCTATAAAAAAAAATTCCAAGTCCGTGTACATTCAATCTTAGTTTAAAGTGAATAAAACTAGAGTTTGTACAAACGAACGAGTATTACAATTTACCATTGAAGTAAAAGTACTAGAAAAAACGTCTAGACTTGTTTGTTTGTAACGCTGTTATTTGCTTTTCTACCGACTTCAAAAAGGAGTCCGTAATCAATTCGACTGTATGTTTTTTTTATGTGTGTTAAAAGTTTTAGTAAAATGGCTAGGTTTGTCTTCTAGTGAAAACAGTTGGATCGATAAGTCTAATAGACTTACTGACCACTGTGTTTAACATTAAGAACAAATAAGAAAAAATGGTATATTTAATAAATATCCCAAGCGCGATTAAACAGTATTATGATGTGCATTGGTGAGAGTAGTCTCCTCAATTGGTTGATTAATAATTTACCATTTAAATTACATTTACCGGGATACAATTATTGTGGTCCTGGTACAAATTTAATGAAAAACTATCACGTGGAGTCAAAGGTATAAACAAATTAGACGAATATTGTAAATAACACGACATTGCGTATCACAAATATTCAAACTTATAGGATCCACATAAGGCGGATTTAGTTTTGTTAAAAATGGCAAAATACGAGAGATTGCTCCCGACGCAAATTTGGGAGAAAAGTTAGCCAGCAAAGATAGTAAGCAAAGCTATGCAATCAAAAATTAAAACTGGGGCTGGCCTAAATAACTTTTTTCTAGGTGAACCGATTTCGATGATTCTTTTTTTTTCTGCCGACTTCCAAAAAGGAGCCGGTACTCAATTCGACTGTATGTTTTTTTTTTCGTTTTTTTTTTTCGTTTTTTTTTTTATGTGTGTTACCTCAGAACTTTTTTCTGGGTGAACCGATTTCGATGATTCTTTTTTTATTTGAAAGCTGGTACTTCTCGTGTGGTCCCATATGAATTTGATCAAGGTTAGACCAATAGTTTTTAAGTTATTCTTAAATAACTTATATTGAAGTCGGCTGTACAAAATTTTTAATTTTAAATTATTTATTTGAAAGCTGGTGCTTCTAATGTGGTCCCATATAAATTTGATCAAGGTCTGGCCAATATTTTTTGAGTTATTCTTAATAATTTATATTGAAGTCACAAATTTACAAATAAGTACAATTTTTTTTAATTTTACATTCATAGTTGCTCTAAAGCCCGCGGACTCAAACTTAGTCTGTGCCATGAAAAGGTACTCTGCCATTAAAAAAAATGTTATTTATATTTTTTGTTGTTATTAAGAAGACGCTGCTGGTCACCTTCTGGCTTTTATTCCGCTGTCGCCTCTTACGACACCCAAGGGGACGATATGGGGCAGTAGATAGATAATCTTACACCGCCACTACACAGTAAACCACGTGAAGGGATAGAGATCATCTGATAGTATGTAATAGTCACATGAATGTCAGTTAATCTATGTACTTACACATGTAATGCGGTACTGATAAAAGATGAAAAGTGCCGAGTTCTTCAGTTCTTTACATTTCGCGAGAATTAAATGACAAACCTTTTTAAACAGACTACAAAAAAGGAAGGTTTTTTTGGTTCGGTCGAATGTTTTTATAATGTTCTATTTTTCCAGTAACTTCACGATTTTTATTTAATGTAATTAGGGTGACAAACAAACACAGTCCACCTGATGGTAAGTGAATGCTGTGGCCTTTAGACATCTACATCTATACTTCTATTAAAAATCAAAATGTGTCTCGTTTCTAATAAAATGGGTCTCCGGTTCTCTATACTCACCATACGAAACAGCAGCATTGCTATTTTACACTGGTATTCTGTGAGAGTGTGGTCCACCCGGTCGAGTCGTGCTAAAACCATAATATAACTGCACCATGGCTGTTAAACGTATCATCTGGTGATACTGATGTTCATTGGCGACTAAGATCACTTACTATCAGTTGAGCCACAAGCTCGTTTGCCCCCTCTTCTAATAAAATAAATACAATGATAGGGGGTCGAGTTGGAGTATGCTGTGTTTGTTGCAGATACGCAGTTATTAAAAGTACAGTTATTTTACCGTGTAAAAAACAATGAGAGTTAATTAAACCGATTACGACAAGAAACTGAACAATACGTTCCCACACTGTTCTCTTTCATACAAGTGCGACAAAGCACACAGACCACCCTACATTAAGTGCATTTACATAGCCTAAAGTACTTACATACACCTTCTATTTAGAGAAGATAGATGTGTTGTCACCACTGAGGACTGAAGGACTGCTTCGTCACCAGTAAGAATGCACCCCAGTTTTCTACCCTCGCCATACAAAACATAACAGTAGTATGCTGGTATTTTGTGAGAGCGTGGCCCTTCATTGATAGAGCCGACCAATTATTAGAGCGAACAAAATATATTCTCATAGGCTTAATTCTGGTTTAATAATAGAATCGGGCGTTCCTTAAAGATAGTAACGGAGTTAGCTTTGACATCGGAACGTCAATCACCTCAGTTCCCCGTGACCATGGGTGCTGCAAAGCATCTGAAACTTCGGAATTAAAACTAAGTAGAATTAAACGCGATAAAATTCGTAAAAGTAGTATAGTAAGTAAGTATTCAATGGATAGTAAAATTAATCCTAAGATCTGCATTTATAATAAACGTCTTACCTAGTTTGAAGATCGCCTCCACTCTCGCTCTATAAACAAGGTCATATACATCTATTTTTAACACGGATCTTAGCTTTTTTATATGGAATATGGAAGACAGATCAGCACGCAGTCTACCTGATGGTGTGTTATGGCTCATGGACATACATAATCTTTCCTCGATTAAAAATCAAAATGTAGGTTAGATGCGTTATCACCCCTGAGCACTAAGATGGAATGCCTCGTTTCCAGTAAAGTCTCCGGTTCTCTACACTCTCCATACGAAGCATAGCAGCGCTGAGCTGCTATTGGTATTCTGTGAGAGCGTAGTCCTATCTCGGTCGAGCCGACTTATATATATATATATATATATATATATATCACAACCACAATATAGCTGGCTCTACAACGTAATCAGCTAAGATCTACATGAATAACAAAATTGTCTTCCTTAGTTTTGAAAGCGCTCCCTCCCTCCCCGCAATCGCGTGCACAATCTGTCGCTGCACCACTCCCGCTTGTCAACTAGGTGAGACATAATTTTTTACATTTTTTTTCATTTTTAAATATTTAATCATTTTGGTTCTTCTCCTGCAGCTTCAACAAGATGCCTCTCCAGCTCACGAAACCCGCACCCCAATTCAAGACTACAGCGGTGGTGAACGGCGAGTTCAAGGACATCTCGCTGTCCGACTACAAGGGCAAATATGTGGTGCTGTTCTTCTACCCACTTGATTTGTGAGTATAAGTTTCACCTCGACCTTGAACTCTTAAGGAGGTAGGATCCCCTTTCTATCTAGAACTTTGTTTAGGTATCTCTTATGCCAAAATACTCGAACTCTACTCAATTTTAAGTTTTTAAGACGCCGTTAAGTATCGTTCTGTCTCTTATCACTTTGACAAAGTGACTGTGACACCTTGAGACTTAACGTCGACATCCTACTAATATTATAAACTAGCTGTTCCCCGCGACATCGCCCGCGTGTAATTTAGGGTTTTAATTATGTTGCGCGGAACCCTAATTCTTTAATCAAATATAAGTAGCCTAAGTTACTCTTTATAACATCAGCTATCTGCCAATCAAAGTCCCGTCGAAATCGGTCCAGCCGTTTCGGAGATTAGCCGGAACAGACACAGACAAAAATTTTAAAAATTGTGTTTTTGTTATAAGTATCGTATATACTTTAATATGCATATAATAAAAAGCTGTTATTTTAACATTACAAACAGGCACTTCAATTTTATTTATTTGTATAGATGTAAAAGTTTGTGAGGATGTATGGATGTTTGTTGCTCTTTCACGCAAAAACTACTGAATGGATTTTGATGAAACTTTACAATAATATAGCTCATACATCAGAATAACACACATGCTATAATTCATAAAAATAATGTATAAATTGACCAAAATATAACGGTAAATGTTAAGTATAATATGTTAGTAAAAAATCTGTGGCGTATTTTGGCGTGAACACTCATTACGCAAAAACCTGTGAACCGATGTGGATGGGACAACCACTGACAGATAGCTAATGTTATAAGGAGTAACTTAGGCTACTTACAATTTTAGAGTTCCGAGGAGAAATATTTCACGCGGGCGAAGTCGCGGGGAACAGCTAGTTAATAATAACATTTTAAACTTGAATAGCGTTTGGGTATTAGGCCATTAGATATCGTTTAATTTAAAAAAAAGGAGGAGGTACTCAATTCGACTGTTTTTTTATGTGTTACCTCGGTACTTTTTTCGAGGTGAACCGATTTTGATTTTTTTGGACAACTTTTGACAACAACTCACCAAAGTTTCATCGAAAATTTCATTAATGGTGTAGGAACGCATAGAAGATGAACAAACATAATAAATATTAAAATTTATTTATTATATTTGTGTCTTTAAGCACTCCACGTTACGATACATTGAGTAACCGGTACGTAATCTCAAAACCAGTCGTATAAAAGAGGCACAGACCTCCACAGAAGGCACAGACCGGATTCCCACGTCTCGATCTAGTGCACGATAAAGACTGTGATGTTTAACTTCCCAATGAGAGTTTTGAGGTCACCAACAGTTCGTTTCTTTCTTTTTGATGAATACATGTATTAATGATGTATGTACGTAATTGTTTTCAATTCAGTTTTCACCCACTTTCGGACTTGTGAATAATCTAAAATTTTATAGACGTTGAATAAAACTACTTTTACAGATTCTATCGCGTTTAATAAACTTATTTTTACTAGTTCCCGACGTTTCGGGTACTTTACAGCAGCCATGGTCACGGAGGACTGAGGTGATTGACGTCCCGATGTGTCAGTTAACCCGGAGTACCTTCAGCTTTTTTAATTATTAATTTTGATTCGATCTACGCAGAATAAACTTACTGTGTCTTGAAGCCTTGCGGTGGTATGCTTGAATTTAGTTTTAATTTTATTAATTACAGGAACCCAAGCAGGTGGTAGTACGTCGGGAATTAATAAAAATAAGTTAATTAAACGCGATAGTATCCGAAAAAGTAGTTTTATTCAATGTTTAGTGTTCGCGTAAATATAAGAAATCATTATTTTATAGACGTGCTAAGAATCGATAACAATACAATTTCATTGAAATAAGAAACAGAACCAGAAACTTTTTTATTCAATATAGATTATAAATAATACTTATTGAATGTCGCTCTTTTGTTTAATTACCACTGGTTCGAAAAAAAAAACCTCTGTCCTGGGAAGAACCAGCAAGAAATTCAGCGGGGCTTTAAAAAAATAACGACTTACTATCATGTGTTTCACAATTAACCACACAAAACAAATTAGATATAGCTTGGTAGCGATCACCTCATATCTAGGGATTATTATCATCCATAAATTCCTTAATATTATAATAACTTTTTTTAAACAAAACTTTTTGAAAAAAAAAGTTTTTGAACTTTGAACAGGTAAAATTTTAGTATATTTTATCAAATCAATATTATTATATTAAATTTTATCTTTATCTATATGATACAAGTACACCTCAAGTAATCTCACTAAGATCGTGACAGCTCCAAGATCAAAGCGTGTTTGAATTTTCTCTAATTTTGTTATTATTTTCTAATACAACAATCTGTTTTACAAAACAATTTTATTATTACTTAACTATTTTACGTACGGTAAGAGCGTCCACAACTTGTTCTTCCACCAGGACGGCGTCTCTTTGGAATGTATTGAAATATTTGACTGGTTTTATGGCTGGGAAGTTAAATTGCTAGAAAAGTGTAAATATCTTTTTTTCTTTCTGAAATATTTGTTATATTTTGTATTTAATAGATTAGAAATGGATAAACAGCGGATATTCCTAAAAGTAAAAAAAAATCTAATTTAATATAATATGTATTACTTGTGAGATACGTTGTGTTTTCATACGATGGCCAAGTCAATCTATTTATTTAAAATATAAAATATATTTAATATTGATATGGTCACTATAAGATATTGTTAGGTTAGCTAATTACGTAATAACTTTAGCCAGAAGGACCCTTAAGTAGGGACTGAATAAATTAACCGACTTTGTATTACATGGATCTCACAAATTTTTTCGGTAGAAGAACCAAGTTGGTTTTTTTATAAGTTAATGTTTTTGATGGCATTAACCTTTTAAAATACGATCAAAGAAGAAACAGCGTTTAACAGTCAAAAGAAACGTTATTTTTTGTAGCAGTTCATTTACCGAATGAAATTGTTTTTCCAGAAAAGCTTTTAATAAATACGCCTAAATAGATTATAATCTAATTGCCTTATTTCTTTCGTTCAATTTATTTGCTATTCTTATTGTACATACGTTTGGTCTTATCATAAAAAATAGTTTAAAACAAGAACCCTGCAATCGCACTGCAAATATTGGCAATTATTAATATTTTTAGGGTATCCATAAAATATTCTCATATGGTTGAGCTGAATAAATATATAAGAGGAAATAATAAATATATATTAAATATACTAACGTAAATAGATAAAAAATACATGAATAGATGAAGGGCCCAATTTTATTAATATTATTATTACATTTACATTATAGTATTATTTATAATTCTTTGATAATACTACGACAACGATCCAGTTACTAATCCCTGCACTTGTTGCAGCACTTTCGTGTGCCCGACTGAGATTATTGCTTTCTCGGAGCGCGCTGACGACTTCCGCAAGATCAACTGCGAGGTTATCGCAGCCTCCACAGACTCCCACTTCACTCACCTCGCCTGGATCAACACGCCCAGGAAACAAGGTAAGGTTCTCGAACTAGTGCATACGGACATAATTCGTTCGCTTTTTCACATGTACAACATAAATAGGGTGTCCAGGTCGCAAACCCAGAAATCCGACAAGCTTGTTAAGCCGGACTTTCGAGTAAAAGCACAGATTACTTAATACTTTAGGCCGGAAACCTCTATTGAAGATTATGTGTCTTAGTTTTAAAACGATAACATTATTTTATGTAAATCTGTGGTCTAAGTCGTGCAAATCCAGGCTTTTTTTGATGTTCATCATGATTCCAGCCCTTCACAAGTCCACTGCTGAACATAGGCCTCCCAAAGAATGCCACAAAACACAGTCCTGAACCACCTGCATTCTTCGACTTCCTGCATGTCTTACCAGATCGTCACTGCATCTAGTGGGGGGTCGTCCTACTTCGCTTGCCACTCGAGAACCTTTCTTCCCCATCCGTTGTCGTTTCTTCGAGCTATATGGCTGACTCATTGTCACTTCAGCTTACTAATCCATTAGGCTATGTCGGTCACTCTGGTTCTACTGCGGATATCCTTATTTCTAAGTTTATCACGCAGGGAAACCCCTGTCTCCATAACTCGCTGAGCGACTTTGAGCTTCAACGACCACGTCTCAGATCCATATGTCATCACGCACACGCACTGGTGGTACAATCTCGTTCTCAAGTTTTGAGATATACCTGACGTGATGTGTGTCGCAATCTAACGCACGATGCGCTGCCTGAGTTGAATCCGTCGATTGACCTCTCTGTTGAAGTTGGACTTGCCAAGTCGGACTATTTGTCCCAGGTAAACATACTCGTCAACAACTTCGAGCTTAGTACTCCCAACAACTACCGGCATAGGTGTGACATGGACGTTATACATGATCTTTGTTTTGTCCATGTTCATCTTAAGACCTATCCGTAGGGAGGCACTATTGAGGTCATTGAGCATAGTGGTTAGGTCCTCCAGCGATTCTGCCATAAGGACTATATCGTCGGCAAATCGAAGGTTTTTTAAATAGTATAAGGATGACAAACGATCACACAGTCCAACTAATGGTAAGTGGTTGCCGCGGCCCATAGACTTCTACATCTATCCTCGTTTGCGAATCAAAATGCAGATGCGTTGTCAGCCGTGAGGACTAAGATGGAATGTCTCTTCACCAGCAGGTACCAGTTCTCCACACTCACAATACAAAACAGCAGCATTAAGCTACTATTTTATGTGCTAGCATTCGGGCCCTCCCCGGCCAAACCAACCCATTAAGTGCCACAACCATATTTTTAATATGGCTGCAGCATGGCTCTACAATGAAAGATTTTATCCGACCGATATCACTTGGGACCTCCAAGTTAAGTTTCAAAATGCAGATGCATTGTCACCCCTGAGGACTAATATGGAATGCCTCGTTTCAAGTAAAAAGGATGTCTAGTTCTCTACACCCACCATACGAAACACAGCAACATTAACCTGCTATTTCACGCTGGTATTTCCGAGAGCGTTGTCCTACCCCGTTTGAGCCTTCCTTTTGTTTCAATCACATATTATATATTCTTATATATCATCAGATATATTAAATGTTATACATTTAAGCTGTAAACAGAGTACTGTTGAATAATGCAAAGCAAACACCATAAAAAAGCAATGAAATATTGACAACCTCTGTGTGCACAACAAATATTGACAACCATGTGAATACATACATGGACATATATGGAACATACATGATATTTTCGTGTTCTGGTTACAGGAGGTCTTGGCCCCATGAACATTCCGATCCTGAGCGACAAGACGCATGGCATCTCTCGTGACTACGGTGTACTGAACGAGGAGGTCGGAGTTCCATTCCGAGGGCTGTTCATCATCGACGGCAAGCAGAACCTCAGGCAGATCACTATCAACGACCTGCCCGTGGGACGGTAAGAGTAAAAAAATATCGTACACACTTTGCACTGTAATTTTGTAGTTAACTACGTAAAAGAGTGGCATCACCCTAATTTAAAAAAAAATCAATTAGCTTCAAAGTAAACTGTTTGAATGAGAGATAAGTAAAAAATTTAGATTTTTTTTAATCTTATATCATTAATTACAGCTTCTACTGCTAAATATAGGCCGCCCCATTGTAATCTCTGTTGTAATCTCATAGGTGGGGATGTTAGCCATAGTTGCCACGCTTGGCAGGTGAATAGCACCTGCAAGTTTTATTTTTAGAGTTCCGTACCTCAAAAGGAAAAAACGGAACCCTTATAGGATCACTTTGTGGTCCGTCTGTCTGTCTGTCAAGACCCTTTTTCTCAGGAACACGTGGAGATATCAAGCTGATTCATATCAAATACTCAAGTCTACTCTCCCTTGGAGCTGTGAAAAACTCAAACTTCTAAGCCAATGCAATCAAAAGATACACCCATTTATGCCGCAAATTTTCGACATTCGCAAGGGAATCAAAATCTACAGGGTACCGTCCCGGTCCCGTGAACTCAGAATCTTAAAATTTGGTACGAAGCAACGTATTATAGCACAGATAAAGGAAAAATTGCGAAAAGCATAAATTTTTAGTTACATCATATAATAAAATTTTTTTAATAATTTTAAACATATACCTACGGATTTGTTCAGAACCCTCGGTGCGCGAGTCCGACTCGCACTTGGTCGGTTTTTTTTTTTTAGTTATTAGGCCAAACTGTGGGTGTGAGAAAATCCACTACCCCATTTCATCCCATGGGTATCTTAAGAGGCGATAGAGGGAAATAAATCTGGAATGGGCAGCAGCGTCTTCCTAATAACGACTAAAATTAAAAACTTTGGATGTCAGCCCGCTTGCTAAGCCTGACCACTATGGCAAATATCCATGAGGTAATCTATACCTATATAAAAATATATAACATTACAAATGACTATCAACCATATTAGTAACGAAACTACCATATTAGGGTACTTACCCAGTTGTAAATCACAGTAACAAGAAAAGTCTATTTGTGACGTAATAATGACAAACAAATTTGCAGTTCACCTTGACACCGCGGCCCATCGTAGTATAGTTCATTTGACACATTTGTATTTGGGAGAGTCTAAAAGGCATCCAATGGGCAACACATGTATTCATTGACATCTTTAACATTTCACAATCAATACTAACCAACTCTAAATAAAGACCACAGATATGTTGTCACCCAGGTGACTACATGTAACACCTCACATCCTGTAAATATACAAGCTCTCTATCCTTTCAACTGGGCTGTAATCCAGGGTGTCTGGGACTCCAGTTCATATCGCTAGTGTGTGGAATTTGGGTTCCCTTACAGTTTCAAGTGGCTTTAACATCTGAAAACTGTCAAAGATAGGTTAGGTTATGACCAGACAATGAAGTTTAAATCAGTATTAATTGTGTAGCCCAATTTGACTTGTCATTATTCATTTTGCCCGGGCATTGTAATTATTGCCCTGATTAATCTCTCGGTCCATAACATCAGGTGGACTGTGTACTTGTTTGTCACACTTATTCAATAAAAAAAAAAATAGAATTTATACTAAGGATCTAAGTCCTAGTTTTAAAGCTAGAGCCTGTGTTACGTCCTAATGCTAGGTAGATAGATGCCTCATAATTTCGGAGTGATTTTTTAATTTCTTAGACATTATACCTGCGTCATAAAGCCATGCTGCAGATATATTGTAGTTGTGGCAAGAATCTGTCGACTCGACTGGGGAAGGACCACATTCTCACAGAATACCAGCGTGAAATAGCAGCTTAATGCTGCTGTGTTTCGTATTATTCGTTCCTTTACCGAGAATCGATGTAGATTTCTATGGGCCACAACATCCACTTACCATCAGGTGGACTGTGTGCGCTTGTAACTCTATTATATAAAAAACGTAATAAATCATCACTTACAACCTAGTTTTAATCCAACTACCCCAGAGGTAAGATGTTTTCTAGAGTATGTATATGTTGCAGTAAGATGGTTAAAGGAGAAGTCTCACAGATGTTGAGACAGCTAGATTAGTGTATTTTAGTTACTTTCATAGCGTAATGTCTTATGGAATTTTGCAATGGGGTAATGCGACTGATATTGAAGCTATATTTGTTTTGCAAAAGAGAGCCGTTCGGGCGATTTATAACCTAAATTGTAAAGAGTTCCTCAGACAAAAATTTAAAGAAATAAACATATTAACTTTGGCATCGTAATATATTTATGAAAATGTAATGTATGTACATAAAAACATAAATAGCTTTAATAAGAATAAGGATGTTCATACCTTAAACACTAGGAACAAACATAAGCTTGTAATACCAGTTACTAGACTCCACAGAATCAGTAATTCATTTATGGGGCAATGTATACGCTTTTGCAACAAAATCCCAGAACATATTCAAAGTTTATCAATAAACAAGTTTAAAAGTTTTATTAAATAAAAACTGTACAAAAAGGGTTATTATAATATCAAGGAATACATGAATGAAAATAACCCCTGGGAATAAGGTGATCGCCACCATGCTGGTTCTATTAAAAATCATTTAAAAATTGTATAAATGAAATTATTGTTAAGTGAAATATGTTTGAAAAAAAAAAAATTCCCGCTGGGTTTCTTGCTGGTTCTTCCCAGGACAGAGGTATTTTCCGAACCAGTGGTAAATAAAAAAAATTACTTTCAATAAGTATTATGTAATAATCAATATTGAATAAAAAATTATTCTATTCTATTCTATTTGTGATATAGTTATATCCCTAGGGATATAACTATCTATATACCGTAATATAGTTATATGAAAGCGATTCTTAACTATCTTGCTAGACTAATCTAGTGAATTAATTTTAATTGTAGTTTGTTTGTAATTTGTTAGTGAAAACTACTTTTGACTTATATTTTTTGAAATCAAAAAGTTAAATTCTTTCAATATTACATTTTATGTCGTTATAATGTACGAGGCTTTAGGATGGCCCAATGGTCAACCCAGCTGCACCTTAACCTACTGTCAATAATTTAAAATTAAAAATGTTGTACAGCCGACTTCAATATAAATTATTAAGAATAACTCAAAACCTATTGGTCTGACCTTGATCAAATACAATTATAATTATTTCACTAGGTGTCTACTCGGAGTATATATAGCTATGTCCGTAGGGACATAACTATATTACGGCTTTAACTATCTTACTGCGACATATTATATTATATATATATATATATATATATATTCATTCATTGGAATGTTTTGCACCCTAAACGGATTAATGGATTTTAAACAAGAGGTGTCATTCGATTCTCCTTAATTGTGGAATTGACATAGGCTACAAAATTGTTCTTTTCGGTAAACATTTTTATACAGTCGGGTTTTTTTTATTTCTGTTCTAATGATAGGGCTTGTAAATGAATATAATTGCAAAGTCATTGTACACTAGACGTAAGGTCTGTCACGTTCTCTTTATCAAAGTTGATAACTGGAATGCCAATAAATTAATAATATAATGGAAATCACGACTACGTGATAATTAGCCTTGAATTTGCTTGTCCACTCGTTTACTGTTTATTATAAACTGTTTGTTAAAATAACTTGTAAGGGATACTGATTTCGTATATTTCCTCTTCCTTCTTATATTTACGCGAAGCTGGTATTTTACGCTGTATTCCGTGAGAGTGATCATTCCCCGGTCGAGCCGACGCATTCGTGTTAAAACCACTATATAGCTACAGCATGGCTCTACCCTATCATAAAGATTTATTGTTGTAATGCTTTCTATGAGAGGTGCTTTAACACCCATGAGGACCAAGATGAAATGCCTCGTTACTAGTAAAAATTGTTTCTGGTTCACATCACTCACCATGTAAAACATTACAAACATAACACTACAGGAGCACAAAATACCATTTCACATTGCTATTCTGTGCTATTCGATCCATCCCCGGAAAAGCCGCCCCATTCGTACTGCAACAATAATACAGCTGGGTCGTGACGCTACCATGTACAAGATTGTATACTATGACTAACATGATTAGATATCTGATTTTCAAATATCAATGTCAGTGATAAATATAATTAATTTGGGTCACATTATCGGTTAATCCCGAAATGATTATATTTCATATGTGAACATCGGAATTGAAGTACTTGATTTATGTATTTATATCTATACCTATAATTAAAATTGAAATGTCTGTCTGTAATATTGAAATAACTAGCTTCTATTAAATGAAAGTGTTATTTGCAGGCTATTAAGACATAATAAGCATTTTTTTTATCTGTGTGTCCAGGCTAATCTTCAGAATGCTTAAACTGATTGTGATGAAACTTTACGAACAGATGGAGAGCAATGCCACGAGGGATCTAAGTTATAGGAACTAAGACAATAAGAATTAAACAGTGAAAAAAACTTGAAAACTTGAAAAAATCTTTGGGTGTATATTAAAATGCTAAAAATATAACATTATTAAATAAACAAATATAAAGTCCGCATTTGTCTTTTCCACAGGTCAGTAGATGAGACGCTCCGTCTAGTTCAAGCATTCCAGTTCACGGACAAGCACGGAGAGGTGTGCCCAGCCAACTGGCAGCCCGGATCCAAGACAATCAAACCTGATACTAAAGCTGCCCAGGAGTACTTCGTTGATGCCAACTAAGATCAAACTAAATTTGGTTAGATGCTAAATGGACTGTAGTGGAAATATCAAATATCATTAATATAACATTAACAGCTGATTCTATTAAAAATGATTATCATGACAATAACTTGACGTTAAGTTTCCAATTGGTTGCATCTAACCAACCTAAGTTACTATATCTATCGACAAATTTTTACGTGTATTAACTGTTGATCAGTGCTCTTATCATAGTAAATAGTGATTTATGAATGGGTAATTTTTTCATTGAATAAATAGTATGGGAAATCCAGTGCAGGTGTTGATGAAACTGTCACCTATTAAGATGGACCAGAGATATCGCTGTGCAATTCCTTCTATGAAATTGCATCGTAAGAAACAATCAGTATTTAACAGAGATCCTATGTGTTGTAATATGCAATCGAGGCTGCAATAAACAACATGTTCTTATTTCTTTGTTTTATTTATATTTCGTGAATTTTTGTCATTCCTAGCGAAGGTTGATTGTAGCAAAAGATCATATGAGTAACATTAATGCTACAGCTTGCTAATAAATGTGTTGGAGAGGAACTGCGAGTTAAAAATTAAACATACCATAAATAATCTATACATCTGAAGTTTCTGTCTGTAATATCGAAACTGCCTTTCATTGGGCTGAGGGGGTTATTTGCATGCAGTTAAGATATTAATAACCATTTTTGATATTTTTGTCTGTCTGTCTGACAGTGCCGGCGGATCTTCGGAATGGCGAACCGATTGTAATGAAACTTCACGAACAGAGAGAAAGAGTGATGCTAGGAAGTATTTTATTCCAAAGAATTGGAGAATGAATGAATGAATGGATGGTCTTTGATGATTACCTTAAATCTGTGCAAATAAATAAAATTGAAGTGTCTGTTTGTAATGATAAAATAACAGCTTTTTACTAAATGCATATGAAAGTGTATACAGTACTAATAAGAAATTTTTTTTAAAATGTTTGTCTGTGTCTGATCCGGCTTATCTTCGAAACCGCTAGACCTATTTTGACGGGACTTACTGGCTAGCTGATGTTATAAGGTTCCGTGCAAAAAAATTAAAACCCATGTAATCGTAGTAAAATCCACGCGGGCGAAGTCGTGAGGAACAGCTAGTCTAAAATAAAAGGCGATGCCTGGACGGGTCGCTAGTTATGAATAATATATTTTTATTACCTTTGCTTAATTTTTTACATGTTTAGAGTGTATTAAAAGAATTTTGTAATTTTTAAACTTTTAAAAATGCATATCTCTGAAAATATTAAACAATGTAACAAGTTATAGGACATGACCAAATTTTTGGTCATGTCCTATAACTTGGTCTTTTGGTATATAACTTGGTAAGTTTGGTCATGTAGAAAGAATGAACGAGGAAAGGGTGACAAAGCAAATTTATGTTGCAGAAGTGAACGGCAGGGTCGGGAAGGGACGTCCTAGACGTAGGTTTATCGACCAAATCGGCGATACATTAAAAATGGGCCAGATTAGGGAGTACCCTTAACCGACGAGCGTGTATGCGTAGATATAATATGGATGTAAAGGAGGCGAGAGAGGTGTGTCAGGCGCCAAATGGAAGTCCGTAGTCTCTGCCTACCCCTCTGGGTGACAGGCGTGAGTGTTTATGTATGTTTATGTGATAGGACATTTTATTAAAATCTATCTTTTATCATTAATTTAATTTTTATCATGCATGAAATTTGAAAAACATGTTCATCCTAACTAAAGGATTTAAAAATGCGGTCATTATGAAGTATGTTTGGTATTATTCTGAATTTCTGAATGATAGGGTGGAAATATTGTGATATGCTTCGGTGGTTTGGACCTGGAGATAGAATGAATGTGGTAATAGTGACAGAGCAAACTTATGCTGCAGAAGTGAGTGACAGATTCGGTAAGGGATACCTTGAATTGAACATAATCGACCAAATTGGCGATACATTGAATTTGGGGTTACACTTAACCGACTAGATATTAGATATGTAGATTTGATAGAAGCGTGAGTATCCTGACGTGCTAAATGATAGTGTAGTCTGCCTACCCTTGTTGACAGGCGTAAAAGTTTGTATGTATTATGTTGTGGTATAGATGTTTGCTTCCATTATATTACGCGATCAACGATCGCGTCGTCGTTGCTAACTTGCTGATATCGTTAACCGCAAAATTAAGTGCTAATTTAACATTCTCGGCGGTGAAGGAAGTCATAGTGCGAAAACCTGTATCTTTGAGAATATCTAAAAAAAAATGAAAGTCAAAAAAAGCAACACCATCGCTTCAACAAATCCCTACTAGAAACTTAAAAAGAACAATTTTTCTCCCGACAGTTAAAACTTACAATTTAAACTTACTAAATATAAGTATTATATAAACAAAATCTAAGAAAGCTTAAAAGGTTCAAGCATTCTTTTGATTAATCCAATACTATTATTGCATTATAATGCTATTTACATACACCTTAAAACTCAGTAATATCATTATATACATATGTACTGAGATGATAAACATGAAATCATAGGGTCAATGTCAATGACCCTCGTTCCTCTTATATACTAGATAAATATCATAATCTATACTTATATTATGTTCAACGAATATTTTATTATTGGACGGAATAAGGCATAAAAAAAAACAGAATTTGTAAAAACTGGAAATTGATAATTTTATTACAGCGCCACCTATAAGAGAATGTTAGACAATTTCATAAATAGAATGTTAACATGCACCTACTTATATTTTAATAGATGGCGCTACTAAACTGTAAATTATAGAGAGAGATTCAATCTCTTACTGGATGTCTAATTCAGAATGAGAGCATGCACGACCTTTTCTGCCACCAGGGCGGCGCCACTAGAGAGAGGATATTTGACAAATTGCATAGTGGGGAAGTTAATTTGTTGGAAAAATTTAAAAGTTATTGTTTCTTTCTGTACTATTAGCTATATTTTATATTAATAACTTTAAAAATGAAAAACCGAGCCACAAATATTCATATAAATAGAAAAATTTAAAATAAGTTAAAATGTGCAAAACATTAAAGAGCAATCCACTGACGCATTGTTTTGTGTATTTATATAATACTCTAGAAACTGATAATATTTTATTAAAAAACTACTTCCTAATAAAATTACATTGTGTAACAAAAAACTTTACCTCAGTATCAACTAGCGACATCTGATGAGCAGAAAATTATTAGCCCTCATTCAGTAACATTACAATCAGCGTAGGCACATTTCAGATCCTGTCAAAAGCTATTTAATTATCTTTAGCTTTCACCGAGCTGCGTGCAAATATATTTATTCATACAAATGTACAATTTTTTATAAAATTTAACAGTTTTAATAATTGAAGTTTTCTGTATTAACATAGATGTCGCTGAAATAAATAGCTAATGAAATACCTTCTATAAACGTCCCACAGTTGGACTCCGATCAGACTACCTCTCATTTCTGAGATTACACCAAAGGATTACACCAATATCACAAATACAACTACCATAGTATCATACTATATTACTACTATTAGTATACTAATATCGCGGAGGACATTGCAAGGAAATGTCCGCCGCGCTGCCACAGTGCGTATTGGCGGACTTCACATATTATCTTCTAAATATTTTGTTTTTATTTCTCAGACATGCAGATTTCCTAACGATGTCTTCCTTCACCGTGTTAAATCAGCACTTAAAACTGCAAGTAACAATATTTCATTGCAATTTTAAAAATAGTTTACGAGTTGAACAATTGATAGTTTCAAAAGTTATCGTGTTTACGAAGCCATGCGGACTTGATAAATCCACACCATAAGCCACTAAAATCCCTTTTTTATGTAAAAATTGCAATTAATCGAGTTAAAAAAAAATTATAATAAGTTCAACAATCATTTATCTTTCTGACATTGTGATTTTTATATCATTTATATGTATAATATGATTGCTAGATACGATTTCATGCGACAAAACGTTGGATTCTTAATTTTTAGGCCCTAGCAGAACATACCTGCCCGCTTTGAAACAGAAACAGACACAGAAACTTTTTTATTCAATATAGATTATAAATACTACTTATTGAAAGTCACTCTTTTGTTTGATTACCACTGGTTCGGAAAAAACCTCCGTCCTGGGAAGAACCAGCAAGAAACCCAGCGGGACTTTTTTTTTAAATAACAGCTTACAATCATGATGTTACACAAATTAACAACACAACAAATTAGAAAAAATAGCTTGGTAGCGATCACCTCATTTCCAGGGATTATTATCATCCATAAATTCCTTAATATTATAATAACCCTTTTTATACAAACTTAGTTTAATAAAGTTTTTGAACTTTGAACAGGTCAAACTTTGTATATTTTCTGGAATTTTGTTGTAAAAGCGTATACATCGCCCCAAGAATGAATTACTGACTCGATGGAGTCGAGTTTGCGCTTACGGCATGCAATATTGATTTATCACGTGGCATTGGGTTAGGGGGTGCCAATGTCATTTCATAGTACGCGAGCAACCCCAGGTTCGAGCACCCTATAAACCCCACGGCACGTGATAAAATGAAATCGTTGGTTGCAAATGTCAGTACAGCTAGCGCTTAGGTCCTGATCTATCTCGGTTCCATACCATATACCTTTTAATAACATGTGTATTTATATTTTTTGTATATTATGTAAGTTTATTTATTTTAAGGATCGACCAATTCTTCTGTCCGTGCGAATGTGACTGAACTCCCTAAACGACTAGACCGATTTTGATGAAATTTTGTGTGTTTTCACAATTGGACCCGGCAGGTGGCGCGCTCAAGAGAATTTACTTCAAATGTAAGAAATAAACTGTATTTTTGTGATATTGGTATAATTTCAAAGAGCAAACTAATGGTGGGACGTGGGATGTTACGAAGTCTAGGGATGAGAGTTACTTGTGTTCGCTTGCTAACAATGTAGGTAGGTACTCGTAGCATCTAATTACATAAAACAACGGATTCTTTGTATCCAAAGTGCGACTGGCGACGATACTGGAATACTTTGTTCATTTATAAATACCAATTGAACATCAAATAACTAGGTATATCAAAAGACTCCTTTGAAACCATCGATCACTAATTTGAATGAGAGACTTCCCCCCCCCCCCCCCCCCGCCACAAATCGTATACTTCAAATTGAAAAATCTTCTAAAAATTACTGACAGACTCTTCGCGATAATTATTATTTTCTAAGTGTGTGGTTTTCTACAATGATGATGATCTCTTTTTTTATAGAATAGGGTCTCTACCCAAATATAAATACTTTGCTGAACTTTCTGGCAACTCTTCCTATAAGCGGTGCGACATCAGAGAGATCATTTTCTACACTAAGGCATGGTGAACTTGTTAGAGAGCAAACATCCAGATATAGCTCTTCTAAATATTCATCCAGAGATAGCCCCAGATGTCTCAAATATTATCACCCAC